CATTTTCTCCCCTTCTTTGGCCTATATAACAGCAGCTCCAGATCTGTGTTGAGGGTTACAAAAAATTACCCTTGGCCTCCTATATTGTATCTCCCTCTCCTTCTCTTCCAAACACTAAAACCTCTCCAAACCCTACACCATTTACCCTACACCCCTTAGCACAAGGCTTCCATTATTCATTCCAGCAGCTTCAAGGCCACTTCTAGAGGTTGAGAGCCACCAAACTTGGTCCAAGGATTGTTGAAGACATAGTCTACAAGGGTGAGTCCCTATCCTCCCTCTTTTGTGCTTTATTTTGCTCAATATATTAGCTATATTTGCTTACATTTTTGGGCTTCAACCCTAACTGAAAATAGCATTTTTTTGAGCTCTTTTTCATGTTTGTTTAAGGGCCTCTCACTGTTTGAGGCTTCGTTTTTGCACTTACTTCTTTACCTCTCTTGTATGCCTATTTTTTGTGTAGTATTTTTGGCCTACGTGTAAACTGTTTTGAGCTCTGTCATAAACTGTAAAGTGGCCTATTTTGAGCCCTTATTCAACATTGTTAAAGGGCTCATCACTGTTTGAGGCTTCCATTTGTCACTTGCCTTTATATCCCTCTTTTGGCCTTATTTTTGCATGATTTGTTAGCCCTTTGTGCTTATATTTTTGGGCTCTGGTCCGAAATTTAAATAGCCTTATTTTGACCCTCTCTTCATGTTTGATCAAGGATCTTTTTCTGTTTGAGGTTCCCTTCTTTCCCTTTGTGTTTAAACCTCTTTTTAGGCCTTATTTTGCATAGTATTTTAGGCTTGCATGTGCACTGTTTTGGGTTTGATCATAAACTGTAAAATGCCATGTTTTGGGTCCCTATTCAACATTGTTCAAGGGCCCTCTCTTGTTTGAGGCCAGAAACCATGACTTGCTTCTTTATCTCACATTTAGGGCCATTTTTGCATATTGGTTTAGCCCTATTTGTGTTCACCTTTTGGCCTTGCTTAAAACTATAAATATGCTTGTTTTGGGACTGCCTTGAATCTGTATTCACACTTCATGTTCAAATAATGCATGTTTTGCATAGCTATAGGCCATTGCGTGTACCTAGTTTTGCATTTCGGGTCTCATTCCGTGCATCGGGTGCCATATTGCCATGTTTTGGGGTTGTTTTGTGTCATATCTTAGTGCTGATATTTGCATGTTTGCATACCATGTTCCATGCCTTGCCATGTCTCGTTAGAGTGGCATTCGGTGCCCTAGGGTCGGTCCTCGGTTTGCGTGCATGTGTGCACGCATTTCGAGTGTCTCATTTTCATCTCATGGCCTCTTATGTGAGTGTGGCTGAGATCCACTTGTGTTGGTGTAAGTCCATTGTGCATTGTGTATGCCATTTCATTTCATAGCATTGCGTATGCTAGGTTGTATGTTAGAGCATTGCGTATGCCATGGTACTTCGTGTATCGTGTATGCCATTTCATAGCATTGTGCATGCTAGGTTGTATATTAGTCGCATTCATGCATGTCATGCATATTGCATTGTGTTTGGGATAGGAGTTAGCCTGAGCACGGGAAACGAGGGACGTTTCGTACTTCGAGTGACGGAACGTGTCTCAATTCCCAGTCACCGACACTCCACCCCTGATGGAGTTTAGGTTTTGTTGTGTTCTCATGCGCATTCATTCTATATTGAGTTACACAATTCGACTCCTCGGCCATCATGCATCGAGATGCGTGATTGGTGGCACGAGGATCGAGGCATGTATACATGTGTAAAAATACATTGCCATGCCCCTTTCTTGCTCTCTGTTGCAGCAAATCAACAATCAGCAACCTTCTAGAGCTTGGCACGCATTTCAAGAATAAATTGCAAACAGAGGCTAATCGGGGCATCGCCGTAGATTTCCGCGCAAGGCAACCCAGGCATGCATCATTCATCATCCGGAGCGGAGTCAAGGCAGTCCTTAGTTTGCATGCTAGTTTACAGCTTTCTTAGTTAAATTTGTAATTTAATTAGGATTTTGTAATTATTTGGACTGTAATATTTATTCGGGACTGTATTATTTTTTTATTCGGACCCTCTGCGCGAGGGCAATGTTGTAATAAGTGTGCGTGTGTGTGATGTATGTCTTCCAACCCCACGTCTTTTTCCCTTTTATTTACCCGCTTATGATGGTTAGATTAGGGCATGTTTCAATTAGCATACAGTATGATAGCATGTTTGCATTCATTCATCTGTTTTGCATGCACTGGGCTCGGCGCATCATACTAACTGCATTGTATTTTCAATTCCAAATTGAATACATGTTAGCTGTAGCATTTCATATGCCATGTTTAAAATAGCCGAGCCTGCTATAGTTGCATTTTTGCATGTGTTGCATTAGGCATTTTTGTATAGTTAGGATCATGCATGGATTTCTAACATAGCTTTTGTTTTGGCTTAGAGTACTCGGTAAGTTTTATGCTTTAGCATCCTTGCATGCGTGTGAGTGACTGCCATGACAGCATGCTTACCATGAGGCTATATGCTTATGTGATATATCTGTCTGAATGCCTGTGGGTGAAGGTTGGGTTATTTGAATTGGAACAATTCATTAATTGTGAGTTTTAAGTCCACTAGATAGTGTCAAAATCATGTTTTCTAAAGCCCACCTGAGGGTGGCAAATCCACGTCTTAGCCTACTTGCGGGTAGCACCATCAAACCATTTTCAAAGAAACAAACATGAAATGTTTTGTTCCAATTTAGGCGATCCAGTCTATACTTGTATGCTGTGCGCATCACATAGTGATCTAGGCTAATAACCGGAATAAGAACACATAATGTTTTCAAAAATAGATATCATGGTTAGTAGAGGACGATCTTTGATCGAGTGAGCGGGGGTGCTCACGAAGTGACCTTCCCCAATTGTACCCAAGTTCCCGAGCTGAGGCAACTTTGGTGATGACGGAAACGTGGCCTTAGGCAAACGAGTCAGGGTTTCCTAAATTTCTCCAAAATAAAACATTTAGGTGGCGACTCTGTATCTGGCAAAGCAGTCCATGTTTGACACTTCTTTCAAAAATCTGTTTTCTCAAAACGATTTGCCGGATTTGGACTCTTTGGTTCAGATTTAGAACCGTGACAATTTTAGAGCCCTGAATTGTAGTGAGCCCAATATCGAACGGAACGGGGGACTCGTTCCTCCCGGGGGCGTTCGGGGACGTCTACAGTCGTCGACATAATACCGTAAGGCAATTGCTCTCAAATGGAACAATCTCAATAGATTATATAAAATCTAAAGATAATATTGCGGATCCGTTAACAAAAGGTTTAACTAAAGAGCAAGTGTATAGTTCATCAAAGGGGATGAGATTAAAGCCTATTACATAAGAGTCATCGTAATAGTAACCCTACTTATATGACTGGAGATCCCAAGAACTAAGTTCAAAAGAACAACTAAGTTATGTGTAACTCGCCAGAAATCACCAAGGGATTAAAATTCTCTATCCATTCCTATGGTAAGAGTGATATCTGCAACATGTGTTGTATGCAGGGGTTTAAGAATAAGCTTTGCTTTTAATGATTACTTATATCTTGATTTAGGCAGAAAAATCAAGACGAGCATAAGGAGATACTCACAATAAGAATCACTTATATTAGTGTCGAACTGGGGCCGGTTCTATGAGAACGAAGAAGCTAAATTCTCTAGAACGCACTCAGAAGATATTTTGTGTGAAATCTATTGTCTTGGTTTACACAAACGGCTGAACAATTCAAGACATCGCGTCCATTGGTTAGCTAGTAAGTCCAATAGGTTATCACTAGGGAAGGTTCAAGACTGAAAGCTACTTATCCTGATGGAAGATATTTTTGATTTATACTCTTTCGATAAATTCTGCATATTGTTGCATTTCTGTTGTTATCAAATTCTACCCATGTGAGGGATTGATAGAAATGGTTTTGAAAAATATGGTTTTTCCTTAACTTTGGTCTATTTTTTAGGTGGGACCCATACGTCAAAGTTGGCAAGTCTAAGTGGTAACGCGTTCTATGCCGCGTTGTGATTCACATGGTATATTTGGTTGCTCAAAACCATTATCGGGTGAATGAAAAATTGAAACCAAAGTAAGCTCCATGGAAATGCAATTTTTGGTGGAAATTCCTCAAGGTTTGAATAAAGGCTTGTCCCACATTGGTTTGGTGGGAAGAATTTTGTAGGTTTATGAGGCATGGGTTTGTAACTTGAGGAAGGCCCCAATGGGCACTCCAAATTTGCTGAAGGGAGAGGTTATGGGCAAATTGGGCTAGACTCATTGGATCCAAAAATAAACATGCGTGCGCGCGGCGCTGCCGTCCGTCCGTCCGTCCGTCCGGTTAGTAGGTGTAACGACCCCATCACGTATAATGATTAGTACTTGATTAATTAAGATGATTAGTATTATAATTTAATTTGGAATTTGTGAGAATTGTGAAATCTGACTCGTATATGATTCTATTAAAGATTTATTTTGGAATTAGAAGTTAAGGGTCCAAATGGTTTAAAGAAGTGAAATTAAGTAGTTGAGTCAATTTAATTTTAATTACGGACCCATTTGGGAGTTTAATTAAATATTCGATTCAGTTTAGTAAAATTGAGACTCGATTAATTAGATCCGAATTGGAGAAAATTAAGTTAATTAAATTATGAGGATTGAGAATTGTGATTATTACGAATTAAATTTATTTATGAAGTGTCTAATTTAATATTTGGAGCTTTTTGGAAGCTGATCAAAAATCTGATTCAGAATGGTAAAAATTAAATATAATTAATTGAACCTTAATTAAAGTCAATTAGACTAATTACATTACGTAAGACTTGTGATTAGTTTTGATCAATTGAGATTAATTAAAAATCAAGAGGTGCTTAATTAAGCTAATGAATGACCAGTGACTAATTTGACTATACTCAACTGATTAACATTGTGGGGGTATATTATATATATATATATATATATAATAGATTATTAAACCTTCAAGTTTTATATGTGTACATGAGGAGAGAGAGTAGGCAAATCTACTTATTAATTGTTGAGTGCATTCTGTGCTTCATGTTTGTCTTGGCAAAACCGTGTGAGAGAGAGAGACAGAACCGTGGGTGAGAGAGAGAGAACCGTGAGTGAGGGAGAGTTCAATTTCTTAGATCTTTGCTGGAAATTTTGAAGGAAAACCAAGAGAAAAGTGAAGAAAAGGAAGAAGAAACTCAAGTTTGGCTTGGATTTGTCAAGATTATGCAAGATTAAGTGTCTATGAAGACTCTAGGTAAGGATTTGTCTCTCAAACCTTGAAGATCCTATGGTATAGAGTTGGATTTATGGGCCATTGCATGTATTTTGCTTGAGCATGCTAAGAAGAAGGTGATTCCTTACATACATCATGAATTTTGAAGGAATTAAAAATAAAGCTTTGTAGATCAATTATAAATTGTTAAGATTTGGGTTTGCATGTAAAATCAAGTTAGGACCAAGAGTATGAATTATGATTTCTTAAATTTGTTAAACTTGGGTTCAATTTCATATAAATAAAAGAAGTTAGCAAGATGATGAATTCATGTAGTTATGTTCAATTTAGTAATTAATTATTTTGCATTTAATTTTTGTAATCTTGCATGAATTGTGCCTTATTTCTACATGCATGTAATTTGGAAGAATTAAAGAATAAATATGGGTTTTGATTTTAATTATTAACCCATGCATGTAATGTAATCTAAGTATTTGACTCAAATTAAACATATTTTGGAACATGTATGATTATGAATTAAATTGAGGTTAAAATAAATTGAGTTGAGCTTGAGATTAAGGAAATGGGTTTGGGAAAATTTATCAAGTAAGTTTAATTTGTGTTATCCCTCATGAATTTGGACTTCATCTTTACATGCATCAATGAATCTTTAAGAAAGTTGGAGAATTAATTTCATGTTTGGGTATAAGGAGAGCAAGTTTTGGGAAATTATGAATTCATAAACAGTTTGAACTTAATATTGAATTAAAAGAATTTTGGATGTAATTGATTTGAATGTTGACCCTAATTTCACACATGCAAATATTTTCTAAGAGTTTTATAACTTTAATTTCATGTTTTAGATAATCCTCCATGCATCATGAATTAAGAAAGTTATGAAATTAGTCTCATGGATTTTGTAAGAAATAAGGTTTTAAGTAAGAAATTAAATAGACTCATAGTTGTGGAAATTAATTTGGAATTAATCCTAAAGTTTCGATTTTATAATTAGATTTTTATTCAATCCATGCATGTGATGTAATTTAAGAATTCTACTCAATTTAGATATGTAGAACACCCATGATTATAAATTAAGTTTTTGGTTAGAAATTGAGTTAAGTTGAATTTCTAAGAAATTGATTTGTGTAATTCATAGTTAAGTTGAAATTTGTTATTAATAATAAAATTGGATCTATTTGTATTACATACATCATGGAATTTCAAGAGGTTGGGAAGTCTAATTTATATTTTCGAATTGTGGGTTGATGTAAAGAAGATGAGTTAAAACTAAATTTGGACAATTGGAGCATGATTTTGAATGAATGATTTCTAATTGAAAGTGTTTACTAAATTATCCAATGGTTCTCCATTTTTGTGTACCAAAAGTACATGTTTTGAGGCTTTGAATACTAAATTTGAACTTCAATTGCAATTTTAAAATTTCAGAATTTACGTTGTCCGCTCGAGCAAGGAAAGTCTCGCTCGAGCGTGAAAATCGAGCTCACAGTAGTTTTTCAAATTTTACAGTCCGCTCGAGCGACCAAAGTGGCACTCGAGCGAAGACCCATTTTCAGCATATTTTGAAAAATTGCATTTAGTTCACATTTTTATTCTCATCTCTTTCCAAGGCATTCTAGACATGATTTATGACTCAATAAAGATTAATAAGCTACCAATCAATATAGATCAGTTAGTTGAAGTATGAATCATTGATCTAGTGGTAATTGTTTAAGAAGTCAAGTAAAAGATCAATCTATTTGGAAAGGAAGGGCTTAGTAATGAAAGAATATGTGAAATAAGAACTCGGTTTATTTGAATGAAAAAGAATAAACATAGTAGAACTTCGGACTGTTTGGGCGAAAAAAGACGAGGAGAGTCAAGTTTGATCCAGGGAGTAATATTGTATTTCAATGTGTATATGTTATGTGCTTGTGTAGGTCGCGCGCCATTGTCTACCTGATTTATCTGATATGTCCAGTCCGTCTGATTTGCTTCTGCGGCTATCTGTGAGTAATAACTTAGTAAAGTTATGTTCAACTGTATCTATTTTCTGTGTGATAAAATAAGATATGTTTTCCGAAATGATATGTTCTGTACAATGAATGATTGTTCAATTTCTGATATGTATTCGTGACATCCTTAGCATCATGTGATATCTATTGGCTGTTACCCAGTATCGGAGGTTCCTTTATGGAACTTATATCCGTCTGCACTCTGTTACCCGTACTGGAGGCCCCGTCATGGGGGCTTAGCTTCTGTTCTGTTACCCGGATCCGAAGGTTCCTTTATGGAACTGGTTATTCGTAACCTCACGTGTATACGTTCTGTTCTGTTCTGTTCTGTTAATGCTAATGGATGTATCACGTATACTTACGCATGATTTATGATTTCTGTATATGATCTGGACAAATTATGAATTTGATACGAAACTGAATTATGATTTCTGAATCTGTACGGACTCATTCATTAAAACCCTTTATTTTGTTATTATTCACGGGGCTCTAGCTCACTGTATTATTTATGCATGTAGGTGATCAGGCTCGTGACCAGGCTTAGAGACATCTGCCTAGAATCTGTTTTTGTCAGCCAACCTATGTGCCTCTCGTGGAGGTTCCGAATGTGTCAAGTGATTATGGCTATGCGATTTAAAGTTTAAGTTTTGCTTTCTTGTTTGGTTAAACAAGTCTTGTGTATTTTGTAAATAGGGCTAAGTCCCTTTCTGCCTAATCTGTATATATATTATGACGTGAGGATGATGTGTATATATGTACATAAAAAGTTTAAAATTTTTCTATCTTATATAAGTCTGCACAGCTCAATGGACGTTGTATATGTTATTTGCTTCTGCTAGCCCCTAATATTATGTTAATCTGTCTCAGATGCCTTCAGTAAACCCAGGATTACTGGCCGGTTACAATGCTAAACCTATAGGGGCGGGTTTGGGTCGTGACAGTAGAGCGGGCTGGCCTGGGCTTGGGCGCGGGTGCGTGGTGTGAGGTTGGGTTGGGCTTGTCTGGTCTAATACTTATTTTTTTGGATCAAAAACATTTGAATTAAATTTTATTTTTTGGTAAAATAAAATATGTCCAAAGTTTTAATTTCAAATTTTGGTAGGAAAAATTCAAATTTGTTTTTCACTTCTTTCGAATTTCTGTACAGATTCAAATCTATTCAATACAGTTTTTTATCTTCTTGAAATTTAAACCCAACAGATTTGTATATGTTCATTCAAACTGAACAAGTAACATATCTATTCAAACAGGTTTTGCACCTGTTTAATTCAAACCATTTAGCCACGAATTTTCCTATATAAAGGCAGTCCTTCATTTGGATTTTTTACTTCAATTCTTGTCCAAAAATTCTGCAATTACCCTCTACATTTTGCTGCATTGTTTTCTTGTGAGAAAGTGTATAAACACGAAGTGTGTTTGTAGTACAAACAGTTCGTAGTACAAACAGTTCATAGTACTGCTATTGTTTGTTGTTGATCATTTTATCCTGGGAGATAGACGTCCACATTTTGAAAGCACCATGGAGAGGACGAATCTGTCTTAAGGACACAGTGTTAAACACTGGACTTGATCAGAAAATTTGTTCAACAAATTAAATTGGTAAGTAATTAATTTACTTTTCTATTTTATTATTTTTTCTATTTCAGATTTTGATTTTGTTTTTGTAAGAAAATAAAAATCTGTTTTATTTATTTATTTTATATTCTGGTTTGATTTTTGTAATCAAACAATCTCTCTCATTTCCTTTATTTCTTTTGTATTCCGTTTATTATTAAGTACATAAACAAAATTTATTTTTTAAATACAGTGAAAATTATCCAACACCTCATGAGTCCATGGAGGACAGCATCATCGGCAGCTATCGCATACCTAAGAAAAGTCTTGAGTTATAATAAATGCTTGAGTACTAGGACGAGAATGTGATATCTGGTCTGATGATGTTGATGAGTTCATATCTAAAAGGTTCATTGATAGTAATATGGACATTCGGAAACATAATTTTGAGCTAATACTATTTGGGTCGGGTCGAAGAGCGTGCCCCCATATGAATTTGGGACTGTTGAATGTAAAGTTGGAAGTGGCACTCTTTTAATTGGGACTTGCCTAATGGAATGTCACCTAGGGACATGGACATGGCTGAAAAGTTTGGTCTCACAGCACCAAGAGCTCAACGCTTACATGCCATACGAACTTTCCGCTTATGAGATGAAAAATTGTGAGGAAGTCTTCTCATTCAAACACACAATGTATTACTTGCCTCGTGTTGTTGTAGACTGCTATTTTTTGGTACATTAGAGACCATTGTCAGCATGGGATCTTCTGTTTCTAATTTTTTCTATTCTCTTATTTCAAAATTATCCACATCTATTGAAATATTTTGAGATTATTACACCTCGAGATTGTTAATGATTAAATGATTATAAGTATTTTGAGACATGAGTATGAGATTTGGGGACAGAAGATCTTGTCTGCCACCATTACATGAAAACGGAGAGAGATACCTTTGACAAAAGTCAAATCATGATATCTATTAAGGCCCAAGCATTCTAGTCAACTGAACTAGTTTTAGATGGTTGGATATCTCATTGTATCATATATGCAGGAGTAATCTAATCCATATCATTAATATATATATATATATATATATATGTTTTGGCTCATTTGAACTAAATTTTAATTGTCTTCTAATTCAAACAACATCAGAATAGGGGGATCCCCCAAAAATAAGATCCTACTTGTCATGAGGAAAATTATATGAGATGTGTTTGGTGTAATTTTTAGGAGGAAAAAATGTTGATAATCTAAAACATAACTAGAGTCTTAGAGCATCTCCAACCCACTAGGCATATGATGCTTGTTAGTCAAAATGCCTAATATGACTCACTTTTTTCAACTCCAATGCACTAGGTATATGCTTAGGCATTTTGGCTCAGCTCACATTCACTAGCTACATGTAGCTAGCCTTCAAGGCTAGGCAAAATGTATTTAATCATTAAGATTATTTCCCTCCATCTTTGTTGCTGACGTGGCATTCTATAAAGTTAATAGTATTTGGATGAATAGCTAAAATAAAGAGCATGGTTGGGGTAGAAACATGAAATTGTTGACAGGCAAAATAAAATGTATACTTTATAATAATATTTAGATAGGTAAAATGCCTACTACCATTGGAGATGCTCTTAGCCTGTTTGTCCATATCACCGAAATACGATGAAATAGAATGATCTTTCTTTAGTTTCCTTAAAAAAAATATTATTCCTTTACAATAATTTTCATTTGAAAGCATTTTTCAACAATTTTTTAGCTAACCAAACTTAAAAATAAATATTATAATACAATGATCATTACATTCTATTTCATTCTAGTAAATCAAACACTCCTTAACTTCAACTGGATTCTCAGTACAATGGACATCCCTCATTCTCTCTCTCTCTCTCTCTCTCTCATTTTATACAAGTTCCAAATTGGTTGTGGTTGGACAAGTGATTCCATGTATGAATCAAGGGTCTTTGATCATGAACTTCATTGATGACATTGAAGTCTTGGATATCCAATATCTCTACTCTGCGGTTAGTCTTCTTCCTTATCTTGATTGCCACATCTTGTGGGATGAACTTTCCACACACACTTACCATGCACTGCTTCTCATCTATCAAATGTGTTTTCAACTCTCCAACCACGCAAAAACAAAAAAAAATTATAAATAAAAAAATAAAAAAAAGTGTATAATATTGTAAATATGTAAACATAGATAAGAATTCATGTAGGGTTAAACTACGCCTTTGGTGTCTGTTTGGGATACTTCTATTTGCACATCACACTTTGTCTCAACTCACACAAATTTTCATGGTGTGTGAATAATAGAAAGCTCGTCTCTTTGATCATTTAAATTTTAAATCTTATCAATTTTGTCTTTGAATTTTTTTAATTTGAGTCAACTGCTCTAATTTCAAATAGTGATCTATATCAGTAATGGAAAAATAATAAAAATTCACCTATGATTCCCAAGTTGTGTGTTTCATGCCACTTTGATTTTAATTATGTCAATTTTAATCTTATACATTGTAAGGCTATGTTTTGTCTGTTTATTGACTAAATTAACAAAATTAAAAATATTAGAGTTCAAAATAACACACAATGCATATTTTAGAGACTATAATTGTATTATATTGTCATTATGTTAGTTATTTAGACAATATGTTTGAAATTAGATTAATCAAACTAAAATTAAAAAAGAGACAAAATTGACAAAATTAAAACTCGTGATCAAAGCATTAAAGGTGTATTTTATCTTATATAATATATAGCCTTACCTTGCATACTAAGCAGGGCTCTCCTTACTTTCTTGCAACAACCATTGCAATCCATATTGATTCTCATCACCATGCAACACAACTGTCATATTTATGGAGAAATGAGACATGAAACAAGGACTCTTTTTTCCTAGAGATTAAGATAGAGAAAATTCATAGTGTTTGGTTCAAGAGAAAATTACCTTCTCGGTCATCAAGGTGGTAAGAGGCAATGTTTGAGAATAAAATGATCAAGTTCGAGTAGACTATGGAAAAACCCATATATATATATATATATAAATGAAGGTAATTAATGAAATATATATAAATGAAGGTAATTAATGAAATGATGGGATTTTGAGAATATGGGAAGGATCGCAAGCTGGCTCATGATTAAAGTAGATGTGTTTGGTTATATGGAATCTGATTCTGTGTAGAGACAAAAGAGAGAGGGGAGGAATGTAGATTTCTTGACTTCTTTACATTGTTTTTGAATAGATTTCATGTGCACTTCAGGAAAAGCATCCCTTTCTTGTTTGTAAAAGGTCTTTTCTTGCAAATTGGAAGGCAAGCCTTTGTGTATATGCACCAAAATTTTTAAGGAAAATGTTATTTTTCCATAGTTTAGTTAAGCAGTGTTCAAGTCATTGATTTAGATAGAAATTTAGAAAGGGACAAAAAAAAAACAAAAGGCAAGGGAAATTGAGAAAAAAAATTTAACTTAAATTTTATTCACAGAGACGGAGAGCGTATAACCCCTTCTTTGCTCCTTTCCTTAGCATTTCACACTAAGCTCTTCGATCTTGTCTTGCTTTCTCCCTAGGCTTTCCGATTGCTCATGACTGGTATATGAATCTCTGTATGTAGTGGTCGGCCTTCTAGAAGATTTGCCAGAAGTGACTAGTTGCTTCACAAACATTCTTCCACACTTTCAATTGAAAGGTCATAAAAAAATAAAGAGATAAATAAATCATGCTCCTACCCTTCTGGACCATGTTTGGAAATATGAAATTCTAATACATGCAATTGAGCTTAGAAAACCATGCCCAACCAAACATGATCAGGAGTTGCCTAGATATTTTCTAAATTTATTCGGTTTAGACACAATCTATAAGGCTATTATATTACCAATTAAGTTCTCATACAATACACAACAAAACTTCAACTAGCACAAATTATATCCACACTAGTAGGAGTAAAGGCAACCTATCAAGCATGGAACATGTAAAACTCACATACTCATTAGCAACCTATAACACATGATTATCATAAAATATGGCATGTGGTGGCTAATTAACGTTTCGGATTATTACACCCATTCTCTCTCATTCTTTTCTTTTCGACTGTTAATTCTAATGTGTAAAGAGAGAAATACAGAGAATAATGTATCTATATTATTATTGATTAATTGTATTACAAGATTGTTGTGTATATTGATATTTTGTTATGTTTACAATGATCAAATATATAGAAGAGAAGAAGGTAGTAGGTGAAGTGGTAGGGGATGAAGTGGAGGTGGTAGTGGTAGGTTAGGTGAGGAGGTGAGTGTGTGTGGTAAGTAGTAGTGGGTTAGGTTTAGTGGGTTTAACAGCCCCCCTCAAACTCAAGGAGGTTAGACACAAACCAACTTGAGTTTGGAGAGAGTTACAAAACAGAAAAATAAACTGATAAATAAAATAAAACAGGATAGGAGACACGGTATGGTCGTGTCAGACCGTTGTAGCAGACAGTTTACGGGGTCATGTCGGACCGTTGAAGCAGACACTGTGTGGTCGTGTCAGACCGTTGTAGAAGACAGTTTATGGGGTCATGTCGGACCGAATGAAATATAGATTATTACTATTATTTTTTATGAGAAATGTAGACAAACAAAAAATAAAAATTAATTGAAAAAA